TAAGTTGTGTTGGGGGGGTGTGCACGAAGGGAGGCTCGGCCAATCTCGTACACATCTGGTACTCTGACAATAAATGTTCGAATTTGAATTGAATTCAGTTTTTTTCAGTGCCGTTGTAACTTTGAACAATCACTAAATGAACTGTTGTAAATCGAGGACTATCTGTGCTTACAGTAAATTACTAAATACATTATCATTATTGAGCTAGGCGTACAATTTAGCGTTGTTTCCTTTTTAAATGACTAGTTCTTAACTGAAATTTGCCATCTTATTTTTCACTGCCAGTTTCATTCTGATAAAAATAAGTAAATAGCTATAAATATACAGATGGTCCTCTACTTACGACAACAATTGCACACATCATTTCTTTTGTATGCATGGCAGATGTTAAGTGTCTTTTGCCCCATTTTACAAACCTTTTTTTGCCACAGTTGTGAAGTAAATTACTGCAGTTGTTAAGTGTTGTAACCTTCCCAGTTGGCTTCCCCCGTTGATTTTGCTTATCGGAAGCCGGCTGGGAAGGTTACATGATCCCAGGACAGTCATGAGTACATGCCAGTTGCCAAGCACCTAGATCAGTGGTTCTCAACCTTCCTAATGCCGCGACCCTTTAATACAGTTCCTCATGTTGTGGTGACCCCCAACCAGGGGTGGGTTCTAAATTTTTTTACTACCGGTTCTGTGAGCGTGGCTTATTTTGTGGGCGTGGCTTGGAGGTCATGTGACTGGGTGGGTGTGGCTAGCTGGTCATGTGACCGGGTGGCCATGGCTATGTGTATAGGGACTACTCAGAGGGCTGAAAAAAGTCATTTCTGACAGGTCCTCGCACTTTTGACTGGTCCTCACACTTATGACCATCCTCACATTTATGCCCGTGCAGCATTCTTAACAACCATGTCACTCATTTCACAACTGCTTCTCTACACCATGGTGACAAGATAGGGCAAAAACGTAAAATGTGAGGACAGTCGTAAGTTCGAGCACTGGTCAAAAGTGCGAGGACCAGTCAAAAATAACTTTTTCAGTCCTCTGAGTAGTCCATATGCACAAAAGGACTACCCAGAGGGCTGAAAAAAGTGATTTCTGACAGGTCCTCGCACTTTTGACCGATCTTCGCACTTATGACTGGTCATCATTTATGCCCATTGTAGCATTCTTAACAATGTGTCACTCATTTCACAACTGCTTCTCTTCACCATGGTGACAAGATAGGGCAAAAACGTAAAATGTGAGGACAGTCATAAGTTCGAAGACTGGTCAAAAGTGCGAGGACCAGTCAGAAATAACTTTTTCAGCCCTCTGAGTAGTCCATATGCATAAAAGGATACAGCAATAGAGAGGGATGAAGGAAGGGAAGTGAAATTAGAGTAGGAGTGAGGGTAAGAGAGGGAGGAAGAGAGGAGGGGAAGGAGAAAGGAAGAGGAAGTAGGGAGGAGAAGAAGAGGGTGAGGAAGAGAAAGTAAGAAGGAAAGAAAAGAGAGAGGTGGTAGGTTTGAGGAGAAAGATTGCTGTACAATAAAAAAGATGAAAGGGAAGAAAGCCAACCCCAAACAAATATAAAGATATTAAGATAAAGAATGAATTGTTAAACTTTAAAGAATAAAAGAGAACAAATATGAATAAATAACAATAATTAGAAACACACATACAAACATACAATGTATTTTCTTTGAACAGAGTATTTGGCCGGTTCATAAATTTAAACAGTGTTTAGTCATTTCAATTAAATTTACAATTTCTATATTTCCTTTTTGTCATATTTATTCCTCATCTATTTTTGTAAAAAACCAATATTACCCTTCATCCTCATCTCTAATCTTAATCAAATTCAATTTTTCCCTTCTATTCTATATTATACCCCTTCCCATTGTCATCTATTTTTATATCCATCCTCACATTGGTTAATTATGTAATATTACAGTTGTTTAATATAAATTCAACATTTTAATATAAATCAATTAGTTATATAACTACCTTTTTTGTATATTAATCAATATGAACATGAATATTCCAATTATTTCCATGCAATCCAATTTCTTAAAATCAATTAATTATATTTACCAATAATAATAAACCAAATAATTTCCCCCATATATTCCTCCAAACCACAACTTAACCATTTCTGCTTTCAACACAATATACAATTAATAGTATCTCAATTATTACAATTCCCTAGTTAAATAGAGCTTTTTTTTCTTTTGTGTTTTAAAATCTCCTCTTTTTCCCTAAATTTCCCGTTGTTTGCACCTACCTTTTTTGGTGAGGAAAAAGAAATCTGCCTGCCTAATTTTCCAACGTGCAAAGCCAACAGCCTGCTTTACTTTCTCTTTCGTTTTTCAGTATAGCTAGGGGGAAAAAAATCTGCACTCTTTCCAAGCAAGCAGCAGAGCTCTGAGCAAAACAGCTGAGAGCAAATCAGCTGGGGGTCGGGAGCCGATCTAAGCAAGGGCTAATTAGCCTCTGCTGAAGCTCCCGGGGCCAATAAAATTACAAAAAACACCGAACCGTTTGTTAAATTGCTGGCTCGCCCGCCTCTCGCCCACCACTATTTATTGGCAATAAATAGTGGTGCGGAGGGGCGGGGCAAGCCAGCAATTTAACAAAGGGTTCGGCTGCACCACTGGCTCTCGGGCGGCCCTTTGAAGCCCCGCGGCAAGAATTTAAACAGTTTTTTTCCTCTAGCCATCAGAGGCAGCAATAGATTGGGAGTGGGCGGGGTAAACGAACGGCCGGCGATCCAACAGAGCAGAGAGTGAGGGTGAGTGAAGGCGTGGGGGGGGGAGAGAGGGCTTTGGCGACCCCTGTGAAATGGCCGTTCGACCCCCAAAGGGGTCGCGACCCCCAGGTTGAGAACCGCTGACCTAGATTCTGATCATGGGGATGCTGCAACGGTCATAAGTATGAAAGCCAATCATAAATCCGTTTTTTTCAGTGCTGTTATAACTTTGAATTGTCACTAAATAAATGGCTGTAAGTCAAGGACTACCTTCATTGCAATTTGTTGCCGTAATTTGCTTTTGTGCATTTGTTTTATGAAAGTCATAGAATGAGGTCAAAAGAGCGGTGCAGCGGCCTAGAGGTGGAGCTCTCGCCTCACTATCAGGAGGCTGTGAGTTCGATCCTAGGTAGCGGCAGATATTTCTCTCTCTGGGCACAATGAGAATATATCTGCTGAATGTAGCTCCGCATTGGCGTCAGGAAGGGCATCCGGCCAGTAAACACTCTGCTCCATTTAGTTGCCCCGACTCCACCCCAATGTAAGGGATTATGGGACCATTAACAGACCAAAAAAAAAAAAAATAGAATGAAGTCAAAAATTCTCGTTCTGTCAACAAGTTGTGAGATATTTATGGACGTGGGGTATCTTTTCTAGATCAATTGTATTTGCATGGTTTTTTAGTAGAGGCCTTTAGTTGCCTATTCTCTCAATGTGCTTGGTTGAAATGACCTTTAAACCAGGGTGGATAAATCAATGATTTTTTTTAAAAAAAAAAATAAAAATCAGATTTTTTTGATTTAAATCGGATTTTTTTGATTTAAATCGGATTTTTTTGATTTTTATCGAATTTATTTTAATAAAAAACTTTTGGGGTAAAAATCTATCGTAAGATAATTTTCTATTTAAGATACATAAATAATTTCACCGCCCTGAGTCCTATTTGGAGAAGGGCGGTATAGAAATTGAAACAAATAAATAAATAAATAAATTTAGTTTATTCAGCATGAAATGGAGCTTAGTTATGTAGCATGAGGCTGTATATTCTGCAACACTGGGACTATCGGTGAGTCAATAGTGGGTCAAAGGAGTAGCAGAGATAACAGTTGCTCTTTAAAAATTATGATTTAAATTGAGTTGATTTAAATCAAGCCTTTTTACTAGTGATTTAAATCATGATTTAAATGGTGATTTAAATCAAATCCACCCTGCTTTAAACATTGCCTGAGATATATTTCTGAAAATTGAGAGAGTATTTATGGGATTATAGTGAAACAGAATTTAATTCAGAATCGGGCTGAATCTTATCCAAAAAAAGATATAAGTGTTTAAAGTGTTAGGGGCATTTGACACTGGAGCGCACCTATAAAATGATGGCAAATAATATTGTCTGGATACAATAAATAATGTAGTCTGGATTCTTGGGTGATAGAGAGGTCATTCCAGAGGAGTAAAAGACAGTGAAGTATAGATAGTTTGTGTGGGAGAAAGAGAATGAAGATGACTCCTCCCTGTTGGTTCCCAGAGTATATGTTTATGGTGCAAATTCCTTTTTGGAAATCTCTAGCAAAAAATGAAGGGTTTAGCACAGGATTGCATTGCCTAGCTCAGGAATTCTGGGAGTTAATCTCCACAGGTTGTAAAGGAGGCATCAACTGCAGGATGGATTTGATCTAAATCACTAGTAAAAAGGCTTGATTTAAATCAACTCGATTTAAATCATAATTTTTAAAAAGCAACTGTCATCTCTGTCCTGCAGCGGCTCCTCCTCTGACCCACTGTTGACTCACCAACAGCCTCAATATTGCAAAATATATAGCCTCATGCTACATAACTAAGCTCCATTTCATGCCGAATAAACTAAATGATTAATGTATCTTAAATAGAAAACTATCTTTAGATAGATTTTTACTCCAAAATTATTTTATTAAAATAAATTTGATAAAAATCAAAAAATCCAATTTAATTTTTTTTTAAAATCTGATTTTTTTTTATCCACCCTTATCAACTGTAATAAAATGGTAGTCAGAGAAGGTAGGAAACTTGGTATATTCTATTTTTCTTCAACTGAGGTTGGTGATGCCTCTATATTTTTTTTCAGCTTTATATACATTGTGGAGGACAGGGCAGAGAAGAAATGCTTTTTCCAGTACCAATCTTCATCTTCATTTATTCTTTGTTCCAGTTTGTATTATTAACTGAATCTCTAGGGTGACTGTAGCTACCCAAATGACAAATAGTGTTGTTCATTTGTGTGTTTTCCTTTTTTTTTCCCCCTTGGCAGATGTGGTCCTTGTTTGAGGGTAGCTCCTGCTTTCAATGCTCTGAGCAATAAATATCCCCAAGCAACATTTTTGGAAGTTGACGTACATCAGTGCCAGGTATGTAGTATTATGTATGTATATTTGGCTGATTATGAACGAACGACTGTCACAGATTTAGAAATGGCAAATAAATTTCATTTAGGAACCCACTTACTTCAATAAACGTAATTACCATAATGGAAGACTATAGATTTGTATATCAGGAAGTCAATCATGGCTTATTTTTGATAGAACTCTTAAAAATATATTAACTATCCAACCGTCCATTTATTCTTCGGTACTAATAAATTGTCTAAGTCATCCTTGCTGCCACAATAAGCTTGCAAGCTTATTGTGCTCTTTTTCTACTTTTACTGTACATTGAGTATCAGTCTAAGGAAAAATTTGAATTTTTTTTTTCTTTAGCTACTTCATTAACTGTGGTGTGGAATCTCTTAGTTATGTTTATATAGGCCAACTTGACAAAACCTAGTTAAGAGTAATCCATTAATCATATTTAAGAAGCACAATAGTTTGCAGTCAGAAATCAATGTATCCAGTCTTTTAACTTCTGTAGTAGAGTACTGTGCCGAAATAATGGAATTACTTTCCAGAAAGAAGCAATTTCCTAATATGGATACTGCAGGCACAAAATTTTGCTGGTGATCCTAAACCACCCCATCTTTCTGGGGACCATCAACAGATGCTGGTAGTATGTGCACAGGACAAGTTAGGCAAGTCTGTCCATGTGGAGAAGGTGATTCTGTTAAGTTCCTGTTAGGAGCCCTGGTGGCTCAACAGTTAAAATGCAGCATTGCAGGCTAACTCTGCCCCCTGCAAGGAGTTCGATCCTGACTTAGGTTGACACAGCCCTTCCATCCTTCCTAGGTTGCTAATTGATGGAATATGATGGTCCTTGATGAATATGCTGGCATTTGTAAACCGCTCAGAATGTTGTAAAGCAATATGGGGCGGTATATAAATCTAAGGACTATTGCTAAGTTCCTCAGTTGGGCTTTATCGATTACAGTCAGCACTTCGAACTGTATCTGGAAACATGGAAAGTAATTGGTAACCAGTGCAGCAACTGTGAGTTAAGTGCTATAAGAAGCCACTTTGGTCTAGTACTTAAGCACCAGGCTAGAAACCAGGAGACTTGAGTTCTAGTCCCACCGTAGGTATGAAAATTGGCTGGGTAACCTTGGGCTAGTCTCTCACTCTCTCAGCTTGTTTTGTGGGGAAAATAAGAAGAAGGAAGAATATTAGATATCTTTGCCATCTTGATAACTTATAAAAAAATAAATACACTTTGAATTGCTAATGTGCCAGCCAGTTTATTTTGTACCAATTACCGTTTCCAAGCACTCTTCAAAGTCGGTCCTTGTAGAGCACATTGCACTGATCCAAGAGAGTAATAAGTGTGCAAATGAGTGTGGCAAGGGCCTCCCGCTGCAGGTAGGGTCACAATTGGTACACCAGCTGCAGCTGAGCCAAGCTGCCCCCCCCTCCCCCAGCCTCCAGCTGCCTTTTAAAATGTTTCTATGCCATGCTAATTACTGGTTTTTTTCAATGTTAGGGTACAGCTGCTACTAACAATATATCAGCAACTCCGACATTTCTTTTCTTCCGGAACAAAGTGCGAATTGATCAGTATCAAGGTGCGGATGCAGCGGGATTAGAAGATAAAATCAAACAGCACCTAGAAAACGATCCTGGAATCAATGAGGATGCCGATATTCCAAAGGGATACGTATGTGGATCTTATTTGAACATTATTGTAATCAGCTAATATGGTGCACTGCAAAACAAGAATGTTTTTTTGGGGTGCAGCGTTTGTATAGAAACAAGAGCTGTTTTCCCAGCTTCAGAGATTTCTGAGGTTTTTCTCTCCATTGCTAGAAACAATTTCAGAATATTAGAACATTTTCAAAGCTGTTCCCAATCTCAGTCACAAATACAGTTTGTGTGTGTCTATATCGGGGTGTCAAATTGGCGGCCCAAAGGCCGGATGCGTCATGCACAGGCCATGCCCACCCCAGCTCCGTGAAGGGGAAAAACATCACGATACATCACGTGACAGCAACATGATGCCGCAAGTTTGACGTCCGTGGTCTCTATCTACCTACCTACCTACCTACCTACCTACCTACCTATCATATCTCATCCATCCATCTATCCCTCTATCTAAAAGCCTGATCTGTATGCCATTCCTTGTTAGTTAGTTCTTTCTTTTGAGGGTTTTTCTGTAAAAGGAAAGAGCCATTATAGCTTGGCAGAAACGTTAGTGCAGATACAATCCTGATCAGGGAGAGGGGCAGCATCTCTACCGTGCTTGAAGAAATCCTTACTCCATTGTAATTCTTACCCATCAGTCCCATGGATCCAGAAATGAAGAATTTATACAGGATTTTTATATTTTGTTTTGTCAAACTCCATCTTTAGACTTGGCTCCAGGGCTGAGAGGTAATTGCTCTCAGCAAACACTTATCATGTTTTCCTTATTCAAGTCTTACCTCTGGGTGCCTGAATGTTGCAAATCACGATCTTGTTTGACAGCAAGAATGACACACGTGTGTAAATGAGAACCTTAATGTGACAAAACACTCAACTAGAGCTGTCACTTTCATTGCAATTTCTAAGCAGCATTTGATATTCTGCTCAGTCTTTGCCTCTCAATCCAAATACTAATAGAGTTACTGACTGGGCAGGAGGTCAGTAGGTGGGCTCTTTGGAATTGCAGTGCCTTGTGAGTTTGTTTTTCCGTATTAGCAAATGCAATCCATTACACTTTGCTGAAGGCTGGTATTTGCAGAAACCTAGAATTACATTAAATGCAAAAAAAAAAAAAAAAAAAACTTGCATCACTTTTGAGATGTTAAGTACTTGAAATTCACAGCTAAATGGAGACAAATCCTGTAATGTAAATATATCCCAGATTACCTTTCCAAATGAATCTTTCTTATGTAAATAACCCCCATGGATATAGGCCACTTGAATTTGCACCAGTTCAATTTGCAAATCTTGCCTATACCACACCAGACTTCCTTGCATCTAGTGTGAATGGAAATTTATTTATTTATTTATTTGATTTGATTTGTATGCCGCCCTATCTCCATAGGATTCAGGGCGGCTCACAACAATTAAAATCAAACCAGATAAAACATGTTAAAATACATATTAAACACATATTAAACATATTAAAATAATCCAAACCCCATCAGTCCAGGCTGGGCAATTTGAACAGCCATGTTTTTAATTTGCGGCAGAAGGTGCGAAGGTCAGGGGCCAACCGGAGACCCAGGGGGAGTTGATTCCAAAGGGTGGGAGCCCCCACAGAGAAAACTCTACTTCTGGGGGCCACCAGCCGACATTGTCTAGCCAACGGCACCCTGAGTAGGCCCTCCCTGTGAGAACGCACCGGGCAATGGGGAGCTTTGCTGGTTGCAGATGGTCCGACAGATATCCTGGGCCTAAGCCATGAAGGGCTTTATAGGTAATCACCAGCACCTTGAATCTCACCCAGCGGGCAACCGGCAACCAATGCAAATAAGCAGGGGTGAAATGTTCCTGGTTCGGACCGGATCGCCCAATCCAGTAGAGATGGCGGCAGGAGTTTCAGAGAACCGGTAGCAAAAATCCCTGCGCCCACCCCACCCTATGCCCAGCTGAGCAGCATGATCATCAGAGGCTTTTTTTTTTTACATTTAAAAGCGTTTTTTCTACAACCTCTTTCGACGAAGAAACGAAGAAATGCTTTTAAAAGTAAAAAAAAAAAGCCTCTGATAATCGTGTGGCTCAGCTGGGATCGTCAGAGGCTTTTCAAAGCATTTTTCTCTGCAACCTCTTAGCTGAAGAGGTGGTAAAAAAAATGCTTTGAAAAGTCTCTGACGATCCCAGCTGAGTTGCCTGATCGGCAGAGGCTTTTCAAAGCATTAGAAAAAATGCTTTGAAAAGTTAAAAAAAAAAAAAAAGTTGGCCATGCCCACCCAATCACATTACCACCACCCCACCAAGCCACGCCCACAGAACCGGTAGTAATAAATTTTACATTTCACCCCTGGAAATAAATCATGCTAATAGTTTACAGAATGTACTGTTTAGCAGCTTTGACTTTGACACCAGGCAACTACTTCCACCTGTTAACAAGATACCTGTAGTTGGTTTTAAAACTGCCTGCCACAAATGGACAGCTCCAGAATAGCAAAAGTTTGTGTGTTCAGCTAAATAAATAGGGTTCCCCTCTGTTGCCCCTTATTTTGCATTTGGCAAAAATTCAAATTTATTTACAATTTTATTAACCTGTTATTGTTTTAAGAACATCTAGGTCTCTTTTTCTCAACCTTCGCCTCTTGAAGATGTGTGGACTTCAACTCCCAGAATTCCCTAGCCAGCATATTCTGGGAGTTGAAGTCCACACATCTTCAAGGGGCGAAGGTTGAGAAACACTGCTCTAGGTAGTACCTTATGCAGAACAGCCAAGTAATGAAAGCTGCTATCTTTTCCTTCCAGATGGACTTGATGCCATTTGTTAATAAAGCTGGATGTGAGTGTCTTAATGAAAGTGATGAACACGGATTTGATAATTGTTTACGTAAAGACTCTACCTTCTTGGAATCAGACTGTGATGAGCAGGTATTACAACTTTCAAAAATTTGTCTGGACAATAATTGTTTATTTTTCAATAGAGCAAGTGTTTTCGTCTGTGTATTTATTCAAATCACCTGCTCTCATTTGGATGTAGCTACAACCCAAAATTTGTGCAGTGATGTGTTGTCTACCATACATTTGGACCTTCTGTTCTAATCTTTTTTTTTTCCTCTTTCCCCCACAGCTGCTTATAACAGTAGCTTTTAATCAACCAGTCAAGCTTTATTCTATGAAATGTCAAGGGCCTGATAATGGTAAGTAAAAAAAAAACAAAACAGATTATTCCTCAAAGAAAAGTTCCATTGGTATTGTTTTTAATTCCATGTTGATTTTAATAATACAAAGATAAGCTACAGTTTTCTGCTTTTTGTTCTCTGTTCTCCACATTGCAGGACAAAGTTAGAACTAATTAATTGAAAATACAATCAATGCATGCAGAACTTGGCAAAACAAACTATCCAGCCCTGTTTAAAACAATCGCATTCTAAAGTCACATAGATAAATTTGTCTTGTAATGGAACCATGTTGTTTTTCATGTTACTTTGCCTTTGAGTACACAACATACATAATGTAATAATACGTAATTATTCTCATTAAATAATTGAACCATAAGCGTAGTCATGTAAATAAAACCAGATTTTGCCTTGATAGTGGCATTTGCCTTTCATGTTGAGCTTAATGGTTTGTCAGTAGAGTCTAGGTTTCTGAAAAGGATTGATCATGTTTTTATTATAGGTCAAGGTCCGAAATATGTAAAAATATTTATCAATCTTCCTCGATCAATGGATTTTGAAGAGGCAGAAAGAAGTGAACCCACTCAGGCTTTGGAACTAACACCAGATGATATTAAAGAAGACAGCATAATTCAGCTTCGCTATGTAAAATTTCAGAACGTTAACAGTGTAACTGTGAGTACAAAGTCTTGACTCCCTTCTCAGTAATGCAACTGTGCCAATTTGAACAAAACTGTAGTTTGAAATATGTACCGGCATCCTAGAATTCATGTTCAAAGTTAGCTGCAAGCAAGCTTGAGTCTCACCAAGTATATTCCGCGGACTTAAAATTGAGTTTATTTTATTATCCCATGGTTTTAACTCGTATTTTTTTTTTAATGTGGATCTTTCATGGATTGTTGACACTTTTACATATAATAATTCAGTGCTTGTCTCTTCCCTTTTAGTTATTTGTCCAGTCTAATCAAGGTGATGAAGAAACAACAAGAATTGCATATTTTACATTTATTGGAACACCAGTTCAAGCAACAAACATGAATGATTTCAAGCGGGTAAGTTCAAACTTGGCTTCAAAACAAGAAACAATTATATCTTGAATATGGTGTGAATCTTATACATATATTCAAAAATAACTGGCAATGTTTTCAAAAAGAATAAGTTGAATTTGTTTCTTTGGAGTCTTTATTCTGTAAAGAGCCAAAGACTGCATGGTTGCTCTAAAAAACATATAAGAACTGCTTAAGCCAGAGATTTCCATGAGTGGCTACTTACCCCTAAAAGGCCAGACTGAATTTGAGGAAAGAATGTAAGAAGCCAGGAAAACCATTGAAGAAGTAATATAATATGAGCATATTCTTTATTCACAATGATTCTTTGCTCCTGCTTAACCACTCTTAATTTCTCAGCCTTCAATGCATACTTTTTAAATTCTCTTTTCAGAAGAGAAAGAAATTTTAAATTCTTTTACTTCAAAAGTAAAAAATTACTTCTGTAAAATGAATAAAATGAACCTGATCTTTTTGGGACAGCAAAACTGGCGTTGATACTGGATTCTTAGTTGTACAGTGAAGCCACCATTTGTTTGTTTATTTAAACAATTTGTTAAGGCCTCCCCTTTTCCGAAAGTGACTTTGGGCCAAATACAGAGGTCAAAACCACAAAAATAATAATTAAGAAAACTAAATACCCAAGACTCTAAACGCAATCCAACTCCTGGATAACCATATTAACCAGCAGAACTCACCTAACCGCATGGCCCAAGTTTTAGAAGGAATCAGCAAAATCATCATCTAGCAATAAGCCTGCTTTTTTTAAAATAATAATAATTCTGGATTAACACAGTACAGAAGAAATCGGTGTTTGTTGATTATGTAATTAAAGTGCCTTAAACAATAAGTTTCTGAAGTTGAAAGCAGAAAACGGGAGTAGTCAATCATTCTTTTGGGAATCCTGACTTAAGGAATGCATTTAAACCTTACAAATATGCATGGTGTGTGATGACGTTATTCTGAAATGTTTGAGGCTTATATAAACATTGTTTCTTATTCCAAAGGTTAAGTTTTATTGTACATGTTTATCTACAAATGTTAGAGGAGTTATGACAATGATTTTTCTCTTGAAATGTTTCCTTCTCCAGTCAATACTTTTTAGCCTCCCCCTTTTTAAAAAAAAAACCCAGGTAGCTCTCTTTGATCATCATTTAATGACCCCATAATCCCTTGCAGAGAGGAGTCTGGGCAACTATGGAGCTAGCAGGGTGTTTACTGCCCAGATGCCCTTCCTGTCGACAATGAGGAGCTTTGTTCAGCAGATATATATTCTCATTGTGCCAAGAGAGAGAGAGAGAGAGAGAAATATCTGCCTCTACGAAGGATCGAACTCCTGATTGTGAGACGAGAGCTCCACCTCTAGGCCACCGCACCACTCCAGGAAGCTCTCTTTGATCCACATTAGAAAGGTAGAGAGACTAGAAGTGATAGGATGCTTCCTTTGTCGAAAGTTCCTTGCTTAGAATTGCTTTTCTTGGTGAATAACAGCAACCGCAGTTGACTCTGCTACCTGGAGTGATCATTACATAGCCTGTAGGCCTATCCTTAGCAGAGGCAGCTCTGGAGCTGAAGCTTTAGGGCTATTGCTTTGAAAAAGAAAGGTAAAAGTAGCTGAGAATTCTACCAAATCCCCTTTAATGATGTGAAGGAGGGTATAATTAAAGATGCCTCTTAATTTGTGGTACATAATAAACAGCAGGAAAGACGCTTGGAAACAAAGAGTAATTGAGAAATTCCTGGGGCTAAACTGGATCCTCAACTTAGCTTTGTCCTCCTTTAATTCTGAGGTATAGAATACTAAGTAGAGCTAACATGAATGCAAGATGAGGATTGCATTCATAGTTGCAGTTCAAAATATCTTGGCTACGTGGCAACATGCCATTCATTTATTTTGATCTGTTAGTTCCAGTCTTCTATGAGATCTCAGGATGAGAGGCCTTAGAAAATACCCTATCACTGAGTCATTAATTCTGGGGTTGTGGGAAGGAGATTCCTAGATTTTAGAAGGGGAGAAAAAGTGTCCAGCTTTCATTTCCCTTTTGCTTTTTCAATCCCTCTTAGTAAATTCTTCATCTACTCCTTTTCAGGACTATTAACTTGCCAGAATAACTTCACTTATTAAACTCTAAGAATGAGCAAAACTCCACAATCTGGAAATGTACCACTCAGGGGGACTTGTGAATCTTCCATTTCCCTTTGGACCAGGGCAAACTACCTCAGGGACAATGGGGAGAGGGGTTTCCTTGAAATAAATCTTCTGAAATGTTTTAAAGGTATTCTAACCCTGAAACAATTTTGTTTTGTCCAGAACATTATGTGTATAACATCTCACACTGCACCTCCAGAACTGCATGTTTCAGAGATGGGTTTGGCAAGGTCCAAGAGGGAAACAGAACATTCTGGAATATTTTGAAATACAGTAGTTGATTCTGTGATCAACTAATTTGTACATTTCTACTACCTGTAATACTTATGCTTCTAGGGGCTTCCTGTCTTAATCTGAAATGCTAGCTTTAAACCCCAAGCTATCATATAATAAAATTCTGCATGGAAAATATAACTGTGGCTTTTTGAGGTGATTATATTAATTCAACAGTTTCTGGATCTACTTTTAAATACCCCTTTTCTTACTGGAATATGTGACTTGAAAAGCTGATAGGAAAAAGTTGTCTGTGTATCACAGTCACCTTTTCCTGAGAATCTAAATATATGGAGATTCTTCTTACTCTTTGCTGGGTTACTAGTTGATGAAAAGTTAATCCAAAATCTCTCCAGTAAATTGGGCCTCATTTTAAAGACTTGCAGCATGAATGGGTCCATATCCAAGGAAGATTTCCACCATTCTCTCTAACCCTGGGCATTGGTGGATCAATTACTACAATCTATAGTACTTGTTGTGAATGTAATGGAAAAGACCAAAGTGCTCTGGAAACATTTGGCAGACAAATCAGATATCAATATCTTGAGATTTAACTCGCTCCTCATCTCTTGCATCCAGAGTTAGGAATTGTGGTTCGCTGCATGTTTATTTTTACTCATTGTATGCAAGTTTAAATTTGGGCAGGGAGGGGGGGGCAGAGAGATTTTCTCACTTATGCTAAGTAAGATATGACATGCCCTGCCTCCCTTTTGGCTACTTTCTTTTAGCTTTGGCTTTTTAAATTAATAAGTATTAAAAAATTAAAATGAATTACCGTATTTTTAGGAGTATAAGATGCACCTTTTCCCCCCCAAAAAGAGAGAGAAAATCTGGGTGCGTCTTATACTCCGAATGTAGCTCTGCCCAGCCTCGCAAACGGAGATTTCAGAGGCTGAAAGAAGCTTCAGAAAAAAAGCCTCTGAAAGGCTTTTATCTTAAATAAGATGGCAAGCAACAAAAAAAGAATCAGTAAAGGTTCCAACCAAACTATGTTAATAAATCCGGAGAATGACACAATAACCAACAGATCGGAAGAGGTTAATCTACATACTAATACCAAAGAAAGGAGATTGAACAGAGTACAGATAGTCCTTCATAAAAAAAGCCTCTGAAAGGAAAAAAGCCTTTTTTTCTGAAGCTCTTTCAGAGGCTTTCAGAGGCAGGAAAAAAAAGTATTTTCTGAAACAGAGTTTCAGAAGTTTCAGAGGCAGGAAAAAAAGCAAGGCACAGAGCTCACAACCAATGAACCTGTTGCTAAAATTCACCTCTGGGAACAGCTGATTGGGGGTATTCCGGGAGACCCATCCATCCACCAATCAGCTTTTTTCTTATTTTCCTTCCCAAAAACTAAGGTGCATCTTATACTCCAGTGCGTCTTATACTTTGAAAAATACAGTAGTTAAATAAATATTAATACTGTTTTAATTTTTAAATTAATTAAATTTAATCATGAATTTAATAATTAAGATATTAAAATAATTTAATTAATAATCTCCATACGACGAAGAATTATCCTGCCTCTCTGGGATGAAAGGTGTTTGAGGGGGCTAATGCATGTGAAATTCATGTAGCTCTCCTTGGCATGGCATTCCCATTTTCCCCTGTTCATTGGCTACTTATTTTCTCTGCTTCATTGTTAACACTCTATTTTATTATTTTTCAGCATTTCCCTGGCCCAAAGAAATAAAAATGCAGAAGATTTTTGTTCTTAAATGAGCTTTCTTTCCACCGCCCCTTTCTGTCTGCTCCCTCTGCTCCTCATTTGCACAGTTCCACTGCTTTTGGTACCATCAATTCCTGCTCACCATCTTCTGGGACAGCTTTCCTTCCTCATTCTTTCCTCATGGACTTGTCTTTGTTTTTACCATGCGGTTTTTAAATTCTTCTTTTAATGAGCTGTTTTGGTTTTGAAATGCCTTCCTCTTCTTTTAAATGCTTCAACATTTCACCACATTGGCCTTTTTTTGTGCCAGTCCTCACAGGAAGTTGAAGGGTGCAACCATGTTCTCTCTGAATGATCTCTAGCTAATCCTTTCCTGACAGAATTTCCAAGTTCTTACAGAGCCCCTCAGGGCAGGGATCTTTCAATGGGTTAAACTGATATAATAGCATTTTGCTGGTCCAGAACATATATCAGGCTGCCTTAAATTGAGCTAGATTATCCAGTTTTGTTAGATCTGGCTGGCCAATTCTCTGAGCTACTTTGGAGAACGAGACACTGAAATTGAGACTGTCTTGGGCTGTGACTTTGAGTTATGGGCCCTTCAAGGCGTTGTCTGTAATTGAGACCCTGTAACTCCAACTGTAATTTTCTCTGACAAATCAATTTACTTTTATCCGTATTGTTACTTTCTGTGGAAAAATATTTCTTATGGTGTTTTAACTTACAATACAGCATGATGGTTCTTTCAGAAGGTAGGAAGCCACCAGATACGTTTTCCATCGGATATGCCATCAGATATGTTTTCTGTTTTCATATATGATTGGGACCATACCTATCAAATTGCAGTCAGATGGCCTTGCCAGCTAGATATTCTGAGAATTGTAATCCTAAAATGTCTGGAAATTTGGGAGAGCTTTCCATCTTGGTAGATAGATTCAAACAAGATAATTAATTTTTTTAAAAAATGTACTTCAGCTATTGCTGCCTAAATAAGGAACCTTCTTTCTTCCTTCCCCAGCATAATGAATATCACTTGGGTGTTTCCACTCACGTCAATATTCATTATTCATTTAGAAATCCAGCCTGCTCTGTGGTGCTTTTAATCACAATGTACCATCACTGAATGGAGTCTGTCAAAAAAAAAAGCTGCAACTTGGGCAGCAGGTTGAGAGCAAGTTTCAATTCCTAAAAACGATCCAATTAGGAATTTCCCACCCAGAACTTTAAACGTGGGGTTTTTTTTGAATGATTAATTCATACATGTTGCATGGGATGTGCCCAATTCATAAACAAAATGTGCCCAAATAATGAGGCATTAGAAATAAAAAATAACACACTGTTATTTTTCCTTTATCGTTATAGATATGAGATATTGTCGTTAAGAATTCTTCAGATAGACCTAACTGTGTTGATAAACATCAATGCTGAAATGTTTAATTTTTCAGATAATACACATGGGCCACCTGAGCATTTCCCCTTCTGAATGGTATAGATTATTTTTATGTGGGGGAGTGGTGATTGATGCACCTCTGCTAACATCATAATTGTCTAATTTGTGGTTGTAACTGTCTAATCTAAACCAGAGTACCGTGCTTTAATCAAAGCCAAGGAATAAATGTTTGTTTCACATTTCTGTCTAGTTTAATTTGGCTTTTTATATAACATGCTTAATTAAATCTTAACTTGTTTATTGTTTTCCTTCTGTACTGTTACATGACATTTTAATTCTTTGTTAGCCTGAGTATTTTTGAGCACCAATGTCTGCATGCCATTATATCTATTCTAAAGATTAGCCTTTTCTTTTCTTTTTTTAATGGTTTATATAGTGAATGATGATTGATTATTTTTATGTATGCTGGTTCCAATTAGCAGATACCTCACTTCAGCACTTACCAGTTATTATTTTGAGAATTCAGTATTGTGTTATACAAAGTTGAGGTGTTCGAAACTGCCTCATTAAATCGAGCGTTTGTCTAGGGCAGGGGAGTCAAACTCAAGGCCCAGGGGCAAGATCCGGCCTGCAAGGTGCTTATATCTGGCCCACGGGGCCGTCCTGGAAACAGTGAAGGACCGGCCAGCGTTGCCTCTGCCAGCGAAAATGGAGCTCGGTAGAGGATTGCAGGAGACTGTCACAGCCGAAAAACAGACCTCGTGCAGGCCACTTATGGCTCTCCTGAGCTCCTTTTTTGCTGACAGAGGGTTGCAGGAGGCCATCACAGCTGAAAACGGAGCTCAGGAGCCTGTTTTCTCTGGCAGAGCGCTCAGGTCACCATAGATGCCCCCGACACAACATCGAGCTGGCTATGCCCATCCTGGACCCCCGAGGTCAAACACAACCCTGATGTGGCCCTCAATGAAATGGAGTTTGACACCCCTTGTCTAGGGAGATTATTCCCGTACATTAATGTTTGGAGTGCACTGTATCAATTTCTGTTCTCCCAGTGAACATGATGGAAAGTAGACAGAATAGTAGACCAGGAGAAGACTAATACAGTTCCTCAGTGTCATCTCCAATGACCGCATAAGGACAAATGGCAGAACAAGAGAAACCTGAATGGGATTCAGTTATCTTCCTCATTTCTACATCCCACATCCATGAAAGTGTATTTAAGAGTTTATGTGCCAAGAATAACAGCAAATGCTCTTTGCTTCTATTCTTTCATCATGATATTGAATCCTTCCCTCGTTTTGCCTGTGATCTTAGCCACCAACCTGCTAAATTGCAGATGTGCCTAGTGTTGAAGGAATCAAGGTTTGGTGTAGCTCAGTGATGATGAACCTTTTAGTATCAGTGTGTCAAAGATTTGGAAAATGCCTCAATTAACTCTGCTAGCGTGTCACACGCACCCCTCAGAAAAAAGTGAAAAAGTTCTCTCTCCCCCTTCCCCCATCTAGGCCACATTGGCAGGGGTGCCGAGGCTGAAGTACAGGTAGTCCTCAACTTACAACCATTTAGTGTAGTTGTCGTTTAGCGACTGTTCAAAGTTACCACAGCATTGAAAAAAACAATCTTATGACTGGTTTTTACACATCACAGCATCCCTATGGTCACGTAATCAAAATTCAGACACTTGGCAACTGGCATGTACTTATGCCAGTTGCACTGTCCCAGGATGCACTATCCCGCATGATCACCATTTGTGTCCTTCCCAGAAAGCTTCTGACAAGCCAAGTCAATGGGGGAAGCCAAATTGGCTTAACAACCGCATGATTCACTTCAGTGATTCGCTTAATAACTCTGGAAAAGTTGTAAAATGTGGCAAAACTCATTTAACTGCCTTGCTTTGCCATGCAAACATTCAGTTGAATTATGGTCATAAGTCGAGGACTACCTGTAGAGGCCCTAGAAGTATTGCTGCTACTCAAAATGGGGAGGGTAAGTCTTGGGGAATGGCCTAGCACTCCCTAGGATTTGCCACACACTTCAGGTAGGCAATGTTCTCTTTCTGTTGAAGGCCTCAGCGGCCTACCTGAGGCTGCTCCCGATTGCACCAGGCCTCCATTCTTGAAACAGTTTCAGGGGAATGCTCTTTTGTGGCCTGACAGGCTTCTGAAAACTGATAAAGGAGAGTATTTGTAGCTCAAGGTTGATCTGAGAGGTCCTTGGTGCTCTCTGAGCTTGGTTTTGTTCTTGCCGACGTTTCATGACCTAAGCTTGGTAACATCATCAGTGCTGCTGATGTTTTTTTTTTTTTTTTTAATTTGATTTATATGCCGCCCTTCTCCGGAGACTCAGGGCGGCTTACAATGTGTTAAGCAATAGCCTTCATACTTTTGTATATTTATACAAAGTCAGCTTATTGCCCCCACAAACTGGGTCCTCATTTCATCTAGTTTGTTGATGTCACTGATGATGTTACCTAGTTTGGGTAATGAAATGTTTCCAAGAAAACAACCAAGCTCGGAGATCACCAAGGACCCCTCTGAAAACACCCTGTTGTTGTTGTTGTTGTTGTTGTTGTTGTTGATGATTTATTTATTTATTTATTTATTTATTTATTTATTTATTTATTTATTGAATTTATATACCGCCCTACTCCCGAAGGACTCAGGGCGGTGAACAACCAAAAGATAAAATACATATAATACAAATGTTAAAAAACCATTAAAATACAATTAAATAATTTGGCCCAGAAAACAAAATTTAAAAACCCCAATTTTATAAGACAAATTTAAAATTTAAAAAATTTAAAAACAGTTTAAAAAAGAGGTTAGGCCAGGCCGGCCTGCTGGAATAAGAATGTTTTGAGAGCACGGCGGAAAGCGCGCTGATCAGTGATCCTCCGTATCTCCGGGGGGAGCTCGTTCCAGATGGCAGGTGCTCCCACAGAAAAGGCTCTCCCCCTGGGTGCCGCCAGTCGACATTGTTTGACCAACGGCACCCTAAGAAGCCCCTCTCTATGGGAGCGTACTGGTCGGTGAGAGGCTACTGGTGGCAGAAGGCGGTTTTGTAGATACCCCGGTCCTAGGCCATGGAGCGCTCTAAAGGTGGTAACAAAAACCTTGAAGCGCATCCGGAAGACCACCAGGAGCCAGTGCAGCTCGCGCAAGGGGGGGGGGGTCACATGGGAGTGCCACGTCATTCTCAGACAGTTTTTGGAGACTTTTGAGGCCATGTGAGAGCACACCCCATTTTAATGCAGCCTCCAAAAATCAAGAACGAGGTTGCTCTCAAGAATAGTTCTTAGGTATTGATGAATGCCAATGTGTCACCCAAAGCTTTACGATGTCACTGACGTAGATACATTACAAACTAACATTTTATTGAATGCACACTGACCTACCAAAGTTTTAAGATACCTCTGTCCTCGTGAGCATATCGTATTTTATTGAATGCACACTGACCTACCAAAGTTTTAAGATACCTCTGTCCTCGTGAGCATATCATAGAAGTTGGAGATCCCCACTGTAGAATTTAACCTTAATATGAAACATTGTGGAGCCATTGGAGAAAAATAGTTACGCTGTGTTACAAGTTTCTGTGCTGTTTCATAGTAATAAATTAGGTGATGCACATTGAGCTGTATCTCATACCAAGCTCAGGAAGACAATGTTTTGATCTGATTGTCGTCCCTGTCATCATTTGAATAGAGCCGTGCTTTCTTAGCTAAAAATTAAAAAGCTCTTCCATTTAATCCTCGCTCTCATCTCTTATTAATATGCCTGTTGGAAAGAAATCGCAGTTCCTTCTCGGGTAGTCTCTTTTGAATGAGAGGATCTATTTTATCCGCCTTTTCTTCAAGAGGTAACTTTCTCTTTTCTCTTTCATAGGTGGTAGGAAAAAAAGGAGAAAGCCACTAAGATGCAACCAAGATGCTGGAAGGGCCTTATCACACACTCAGCGTGGGATTTCACATTAGCTTCAGCTCATGGAAGGTCACTCAGCCATAACCAGAGACTGTCAGTCTGTTCCATTTTACTGCCATTACAAATAAATCAGTGGATTTTGTTAATATGAGATTTCACTAAACGTGTTTTCTGTTGTAATCTTGGAGCCAAAAAAAAAAAAATTGTAAATAAAATCCATTAATTTTGTCAAAACTGTAGAGTGGAAGAATTACTATGTCACTTCAGTGATGAAAACCGGAATCGTACCTCATATAAGCTGTGTGTGTATGAATGTTTGATAATATACCGTATTTTCCACTCCATAAGATGCACTTTTTTGTCTCCCAAAAGTGGATGGAAATGTCTGTGCGTCTTATGGAGCAAATATTGCTGAAGCGCCACCCACCCGCCAGCCCCCACCCACCAGCTGTTTTTGGCCTCCATGTGTCTATTTTCGCCCTCTGCATGACCCATTTTCGGCCTCTGCTCATCCCATTTTTGGCCTCTGCTCATCCTGTTTTCGGCCTCCATGTGTCCCGCTTTCAGCCTCTGCGCCCCGTTTTCGGCCTTCACTCACATCCAGTTTTCTGCCTCCGTGTGTCCTGTTTTCAGCTTCTGTGTGCGTTGTTTTCGGCCTCCGCGCATCCCACTTTTGGCCTCCGAAAATGGAACGCATGGAGGCCAAAAAGCAGGAGTGCATCCTAAACTAAACTAAATACAATATGATCCAAAGGTGTACTGCTGCTTAAAAGAAAAACTAAATACATTTTTTATTTCTGCTTTATTCATTCTAAATCAGAATGAAGAGAGGGTTATTATCCAGTTGTGAACAGTAATGTTATCTATGTCGAGCTATATTTGAGGACACTATCATGTCAACTAAACGAGGATGATGGTAGGGTCTGAATAACAAGCTTCTGTGAAGAACAATTCAAAGGATCTAGGTTTATTTCAGGTGGACCATAAGGAAGGCTGAGCGTCAAAAGAATTGAGACCTTTGAACTATGGTGCTGGAGAAGACTCCTGCGAGTCCCTTGGACTGCCAAGGCGATCAAACCGGTCAGTCCTAGAGGAGATCAACCCTCACTGCTCTTTAGAAGGCCAGATCCTGAAGATGAAACGCAAAATACTTTGGCCACCTAATGAGAAGGAAGGATTCACTGGAGAAGAGCCTAATTCTGGGAACGATTGAGGGCAAAAGAAGGGGATGACAGAACGAGGTGGCTGGATGGAGTCACTGAAGCAGTCTGCGTGAGATTAAATGGTCTCCGGGGGATAGTAGAGGACAGGAAGACATGGAGGAAAGTTGTCCATGGGGTCGCGATGGGTCGGACACGACTTCACAACTAACAAGGTTTATTTCACTTGGGAATAGAGAAGATCAAGAGACACATTGAATGAATGAATAAATACACATGACTTTTAGTAAACTTCAGGAGCTGTTTCTTAAGCGTCGAACAGACTGTTGCTAAAATAGTTAAACTGCCATCTTTTCACAGATGCTTGTCTAATGAGATGCTAAAGCACCACTGAGCATTTGAGCTAAATAAACACCATGGTCCTTCCGCCTCTGCTCCTCTTTTATCATTAAGGGTTTGGTGGATTAACCATTTCTTTGTGCGGTTTCTTTATATAGATAGGTATCTAAAGGATGAGTTTCCTAAGCATTAGTCTTTTAAGCCTCTTCTGTAAATCTTCTTGGCATTGTGCCCTACAAAGAATTTTTATAAATTGTCCGTTAACCAGCACTATGTCTAAATGAGGCTGCCTTTTAAATCACTGTACATTTTTACAAAAGAGGTTTTAATTGGAATAATTAGTTTTCTGGCTTAAATTTGTTCTGTTTCTAAGTATAATAAATCCTAGAATTTAAATCCTAGCTCAATTAGTATTGTTGTTGTCTTGGGGTTTTGTTTTGCTTTTTGTTTTTGCTTTCCTCCTCTTATAAAATACTGCAGGCATTTTTGTCCCACTTTGGCAGATTTAGGCATTAATACGAAACAATTGTGGTACAGAAAGAGTTGGACATAATCCACCAGAACGGTTTTCAGCATTGGCCTTCTTGAAAAGTGGATGGAAGAGGACTATTTTTAATTAGTTCCAGTTCATTTCAACAAATGATGGGTCAAAAATATTGCAACGTAGAATGCTTCTGTTTAGGATTCAAGCCAGCCATGGATTGTTGTTGTTGTTGTTGTTTTCAAAAAAAAAGAAAGAAAGAAAGAAAGAAAGAAATGAATGAATATTTTGGTAGCCCCAGTAGAAGCCTAAAATTGGAAAGGGATTTTTAAGGATATGGCCCTTCTTAGTGCAAAAGTCCATTATTTATATCCGTATCAACATTTATGCCCATCATATCCGCTCCTCCCTAGGCTTTGTTTTATGGGAAAAGGAAATCGTATTAAGAGTATTAAATAGTAAATCTAGGTATCTTTTCCCCTGTAACTCTGCAAATGCTCTATTTTTCAGTGTTTCCAAATTGAGCCTTCACACGTCACTTGTGCAATTTGGTTTCTATGGATAATCAAGAGTTCATGCATCACTCACTTTATTGGTACTTCTAGTAAAGAGACCTTGGGTCCCACTCCTTGGAAGATAATTTAATATTAAACTTAGAATAGAATAGAATAGAATAGAATAGAATAGAATAGAATAGAATAGAATAGAATAGAATAGAATTTTTTATTGGTCAAGTGTGATTAGACACACAAGGAATTTGTCTTGGTGCATATGCTCTCATGTACATCAAAGAAAAGATATGTTCATCAAGAATCATAAGGTACAACACTTAATGATAGTCATAGGTACAAATAAGCAATCAGGAATAATATCAATATAAATTGTAAGGATACAAGCAACAAAGTTACAGTCATAAGTGGGAGGAGATGGGTGATAGGAACGATGAGAAGATTAATAGTAGTGCAGATTTAGTGAATAATTTGACAGTGTTGAGGGAATTATTTGTTTAGCAGAGTGATGGTGTTCGGGGAAAAACTGTTCTTGTGTCTAGTTTTTCTGGTGTGCAGTGCTCTACAGTATAGCATCGTTTTGAGGGTAGGAGTTGAAACAGTTTATGTCCAGGATGCGAGGTGTCTAAATATTTTCACAGCCCTCTTTTTGAGAGGTGCAGTATACAGGTCCTCAATGGAAGGCAGATTGGTAGCCATTGTTTTTTCTGCAGTTCTAATTATCCTCTAAAGTCTGTGTCTGTCTTGTAGGGTTGCAGAACCAAACCAGACCACTGAACCATGGACTACTAAGAAAACTACTCAAGACTCAGTGCTGATAAAAAGTCTTTTAAGTCCAAGCACTCGAAATGCAAAATAAAATTGCAAAGCTGGTTTTGACGCCTCTACTATTGAACATATTGGACACTACTGTGGCTCTTTCAATCCCAACAACTGCTCTCTCTCTCTCTCTTTTTTTTTTTTTAACTTGTTTCTATCTATTACTGAGAAGCATAGCCCTATGTTCTGTTTTCCTGGGTATCCAGCCTATTTGGACTAAATGTTTTAACCCTTTTTTTCAGTTTCTGCTGAATCATGGAGATCTCTTAGGTCCTCAGAAGATCTTCTCTAAATCCTCATTCTGTCAAGGACCTTCGAGTGCTCATTTCAAATGATCTAAGTGACAGAGCTCACTGTAACAGCGTTGCCAAAAAGGTATTAAGAGTTGTTAACTTAATCTTGCAAAGCTTCTTCTCCGGTAACATTGTGCTGCAAACTAGGGCATACAAAACCTTTGCTAGACCAATTCTTGAATACAGCTCATCTGCCTGGAACCCGCACTGTATATCGGACATTAATACAATTGAGCGAGTCCAGAGGTATTTCACGAGAAGAGTCCTCCACGCCTCTGCTCACAACAGAATATCTTATACTACTAGGCTTAAAATTTTGGGCTTAGACAATTTAGAACTATGTCGCCTTCGGTCTGACCTAAGCGTAGTACACGAAATTATCTGCTACAATGTCCTACCTGTCAATGACTACTTCAGCTTCAACCGCAATATTACACGAGCGCACAATAGATACAAACTTAAGGTAAACCGCTCCAAACTCGATTGCAGAAAATACTACTTCAGCAGTCAATGCCTAGAATGCACTACCTGGCTCTGTGGTTACCTCTTCAAACCCTCACAGTTTCAACCTTGGACTGTTTACTGTCAACCTCACCCCATTCTTAAGAGGCCTGTAAGGGGCGTGTATAAGCGCACCAACGTGCCTACCATCCCTGCCCTACTGTTCCCCATTTATTCATAAGCATATCCTGTATTCATAATCATGTTTATACTTATATCTGTTATACATGTTTGACAAATAAATAAATAAAAATAAATAAATAAATCTTTCTCTGATGCAACTCAGCAGAGGTCTGTAAAAGAACCCTTGTTGCCATGCACCAGAGACAAATTCTTTGTGTTTCTAATCAGACTTGACCAAATAAAGTATTCTACTTAGAGCAAGAAAGCCACCATAGGATCTTCCAACCTTACCTGCCATGAGTGTTTCAATGTTGTTGGTACTTCGGGATTTCCGAATCTTACCATAGCAGCTTCATCTCTCAGGATGTCACTTAAGCAAATATAAGTCCTCAGAAACCGAAGCTGGAAACATATCTGTTTCCTATCATTTCCCTGCAGCTTGTACCTAGTGATACGCTGCTCCCGGCAAAGAGGTAACAATAATATCTTCAAAATTGATAGTCCTGGCCTCCGTGAGGTTATCTAGACCCCTTTCATAGGTTGTTGGGATATATTCTATTCCCTTTGATGGTCTTGGGAACTGAGAGAATTGGCAGGAGCTCCACCTTTACATAATTCATATTAAGAAAAAGGGCTGACATTCTCCAAAAATTCTAAAACACAATGCTCCAAATCAATATTGCTTAAGTATCAATCTCATATTCCTGAAGTCACAGAGGACCACTCAAAGAACTATTACAAAAATCAATCAGCATCTAGTTCATTTAAGATATTTCTACTCTGTTTCTTCCTATTATTACTTTTAATTCAGTGGTGGAATTCAATTTTTTTTACTACCGGTTCGGTGGGAGTGGCTTGGTGGGCATGGCAGGGAAGGATACTGCAAAATCCCCATTTCCACCCCACTCCACCCCACTCTGGGGCCAGCCAGGGGTGGTATTTGCCGGTTCTCCGAACTACTCAAATTTTTTACTACCGGTTCTCCAGAACCTGTTAGAACCTGCTGAAT